TTGGCAATTCTAGGGCTGAGATCACCTAAATTATTCTAGAGATGCTAGTTTCAAAACACAGTGGAGCACTTTCTGTATTACCATATGACATTGAGTAATGTTTAAAAGAAGTGCTTAGCCTAAATATGCAGGATTTATGTGGGAGCAAACAAATCGGAAAGTTGTGTAATATGGGCCCTTTTAAATGTAGAATGTAAAAAGACTATCATTAAAAGGCCTGAGCTGCAAATAAACTGCAGAATGAATTACTAGTTATAGAATTTATTTACGTTACCCTCTACAGCTCAAATGTTATCATATTACAAAAATATCAAAAATCTCCATAGTATTGTGAAGAAAATGCAGGCTACACACGATAAATATTGAGCTTAAAAGTATATTGTTACAGCTTTCGTAAACTGAATGATAAGTTGATATAGTAACTGTGGCAGGCCTAGTAATACAGCATCTGCCTCATCAAAGACATAATCACAAAATGATGAGGTGAAAAGTCTCTGAAAAAATAAAAACACTAGCTTTAAGGTCTATACTCTGAGATCCGTTTTTATTTGGTTTAGTCCAGGGATCTCCAAACTGTAGCTCTCCATCCTTTTGAAGTAGCTCGCTCAGGGATTTCTGAATTATGCATTTTGTGTTGAATAACTTACATTTGATTAATTAAAAGGCTGTTACCTTTGTAAATGTGTCATTTTGCGAACTCATAAATGGCTAATAATTAATATTTTATAGACCTCTTACTGTACCATCTAAAGCCTACCATAGTACCAACTTTTTACTGGTAGTTTTTTATTTCATTAATTTATTTTGCAGCAAAAAAAAATCCTGTTCTGTTTCTGCCTGGGCACCCCATCGCTGCTGCTAATCCAGAGTCCATGACAACACAGCAGGAGGAGCTGCAGTGTCACTCATGAAGGATTTGTGTGTGCTTACTGAAGGCAAACCTGGGCTTGCCACAGGGGAGTGTCCTGGCCGAGCTCGGGACACAGTTTGAAATGCACTTTGGCCATTCCTATCTGCCAAAACAGAATGGTTTTTGTGGTGATTTGTCAGAGTGGAGCCCCTCTGCCAGGAAACAGCAGTGTCAATGCTCAACAGGAAATGTTATGAGAGCAAAGGCCTGTTGTTTTGTCAGGTGCACACATCATGTAGTCAGGGTACAGACTGTCAGTGACACCTGTAATTTAAACATTTTAATGAGCAGCAACAGCCCATTGTAACATCAGCAGAGCCAAAGGTTTCTTGTTACATTGGCCCCCGTATCCTTCGTATCCTTGCCTTTGACTTCTGGCTTTTGACTAAACGACGCGTGGCCAGTTTATAAAATATTTAGGTCTGAAACATGAGATGCTGTACTGTCCACCTGCCATTGGAGCAGCATGTCTTGAACCTGATCTTGAGGGAAACTTGATAGTGAGTGGCACGCGTTAGCTGTAACGGAGCAGGAAGGCTTTCAATAAGATCATATAGAAATGTTCACCAGAGTAAATAAATTTTTGTTTATATTAAACAATATATTTTGGGACAGTAATGTTATAAAACAGAATACAAACACATATACTATATAGAGCCAGAGAGGAAAACAGACATTGTATAGAAACTAGGGTTGTCAAAAGTATCAAAAATAAGACACTAATGGAAACTAAAACTAGTAACTACACTAGATACTAGTTTGAGCAGGTACAACACTTAAAAAGTCACATTCACAGGACAGAAATTAACCTCTCTTGAGTAGCTTTAGAATGATCTTGAGCTGTATCAGAGTATAAAGTATAAGAGCACATAGACCAGTTTATGCACATGGACCTTCTTAAAGGTAATATATTACACAAAACTCCTGTCCTGACTCCTGTGAGCTTTAGGCCATGTTAGAATGTTGTTACGTCATCTCAAAAACATAACTGGGGTTGTGTTTTGTTTCATTCACACATGTTTGAATAACCCTTGATATTAGTCTGTCTAAATCTCCAAAGCTCAAAATGCATGCTCTATTCCACCTTGTGATGTCATGAAGCTGTAGTATTCAAGTTAACACATGCATTCTGTATTTTGTTTAGTAGATATTGGCATTTCCAGGGCCAAAATTATCCAATTGATTCTAGTGAAGGTGAGTGGAGTTTAAAAACTGTACAGCACTTCTTGTATTGCCACATGACATCACAAGGTGGAAAAGAGTTTTTGCTGTTTGAGAGGAGAACACAGTCTAAATTTGCACGATTTGTGTGTTAAACATGCATAAATGAAACAAAATCCAACTCCAGGTCTGTTTGTGATGAGGAAACAACATTATAACATAGTTCACAAATGAGCATAATATGGGGCCCTTTCAGCAGCTTTTCATTTCTTTTCACTCATCTTTATTTTTCCTGAAGCAAGAATAACCTGTGTCTCCAAAACACCATTTACAGTTATTATGCCACAACTATCAAGCACAAACATGTTGCAATTCTGACATTTATGATTTATGGTCTCACTGTATGTAACTAATGAATATATAGTCCTGCACTCTTCCTCAGGAGACATTTCCCCACATGGTAAAGCTGCAACGGTGACACTCCCCAACCTGGAATGACCGTGAATGTCTCTCACTATAAATCTATGTGACAACTTAATAATACCTCTATCTTTGGGAACAAATGAAGATAACTTTGTGCAAATGTTAGATTAATGTTTTTTCTTTTTTTTTTAGAATATCATAATATCTGTTGTAATCAGGAAACTTAACTCCCATCTGTTTCTCTTTCCATTAAAGCTGTTATTTTGATGTATTTGCACATCCCATATGCCACCCAGTCCCTCGGGAAAGTGCTGGACTCACTATGTCAAAAAGCCTGGCTACACATGGGTCCCCTCACACTCTAAAAACCATTTGGTAAGTAGCTCAGAGCGCACAAAAGAAATGCACACTTACTTTCCCTCCTCCCTCCTCTGTCTGACTCAGATGAAAACTCCTACCGTCACTCTGGCTTCTCCTCAGTGACAGGATTCTTACGCTGTGGACACTTTATCAAACACTTTTTCCTACTAAAAACTGGACAAAATGGGACTAATGGAACTATGATATTTTTTGTTTATGATATTCTGCAAAGTTTACAAGATGGACCAGAGAGTGGGTCGAAGATCTGGGATCCCACATGTTCCGTGAAGATTCAGGTTTGACATCTTTGTAATACTAACCCATAGACTGATGCATTAAAGTTGAGTTTTTTCTTCAATGATCTTTTATTATGGGGCCAGCATATAATGTAAAGCATGTAAGGCATGAATTAGTTTGTTCATGAACACACAGGATTCTGTTTTACTTCAGAAAGTTACACTAAAGTTGAACCCCTTTTTCATTGAGCTATTATAGGTAACAGTGGCATGCTTTTTCACCACTAAAGTTGACTGATTTTATTTTTTGTGTCACTTAGAAACTAACTTGGCTAGGTTTCACTGCTTATGCTCTTTCCTGTTGAATCAGAGAATACCTTAAAACTATAAATTATAAATGCACTGTATGTCCTGACAGAAGCTGAATGTTAATAATTGCATTCTAACTGAGCTTAGTGAAGAAAAACGTTTAAACGGATTATGTTGTGGTGTGGAGGAATGTTTGAATATTGGTCCTTGAACTGTTCTGTCAGCTCCCTGATCACCTCCACACTCAGCTTAAAGAAGGCACACGGGGAGACTGACAGCACAATGAGCGGGTTTAGGAGCTGGATATCAATGCAAATCCCAACTGTGGCTTGGATTTTAGGAAATGAAAGCAATGCTCAGAGATTAAATGTGGTTCACTCCCTCCTTTATGAACAGTAGCTCCAAGTAGTAGGTAACTAACTGTCTAAGATTACAAAAGACATTTCTAGACTGTCAGAAATATCAAAACATGTCCATAAAAATACATTTACACACTGAGCCCCTTGTGACAGGACGTCCTACAGCCTTTGTTAGCCTCAGCAGGGTGGCTGCTCCCTCCTGTGGAGCACATTTCTTACAAACCAGAGGAAATGCCTGTGTGCTGCGTTTTTTCCTGTGGGAAATAGAACTGTGATCTAAACTTGGAAAGTGACGAGAGGACATGGGCTAAGATCATTGCACACATTTCATAGATAGACCACTGCATTGTTTTGCACACATCAGTGGACTTGCCAAGAATGAAAAACTTCTCAACTCTTACAATGTGAAAATGACCTACTTTTAGCCCGCAGGTGTGTTAGTCAGTACAGACAGTGATTGTTTCAATAACAAACTAGTCACCTGTCTACCCCTCTCTAAGCATCAGGTGGTCCTAACTCTGTGAGTGACTCAGTGTGCCTCAGTGTGATGGTTACAGCTCAGTATTGGCTGATCCTCGTAGCATAATTAAACCTGTAACATGTCAGAGCAGCGAGGGCAGTCTCATAAAAATGCCTGTGGCAGCGGTGACAGAACAGTGGGCGAAGGCGCGCGCTGCCTTCAGACTGGTATGATGCCAGGGCTCGTCATGAGGGCTGCATCACCACAGGTACAAGTGAAACTACACAAACTAAAATGTCCATTCAATTTGATTCCTTCCTCTGTGTAAGAAAAACTGTTATCCAAGTCCTTGTTTGTGTGCCAGACTGGGCCATGACCTCCACCTCTGTGATGCTTTTTGTAAGAGCACCACTCTGTGGAGACTGCAAGCCTTACAACTACCAAACCTTAAAAAAAGATCTTATGTATCAGTCACCATGCATTTTAGCTTCACAAGTACACTAAAACTGTAAATAGAGGATCATACCTAAATCTGTTGTATTTTTAATTATTCAAATACATTTCTTTTTTTAATTTTTAATTTTTTTTTTGGTTTAAGTCCTACTTATGTGCCATTTTGAACTACAATCCCCTTGTGACCTGGAATAAATGGACCAAGGTCCAGATTTGAACCTGCTTACTCCTCCTGTAGCACGCTCTTATGTGAGTGAGAGGATCTGGCAGAGTCCAGTTTGAATGTTTGCTTAGAACTATCGCACTTTGACTTTGTGGGCAGAGATAACTTATGCAGTTATGAGAGGACAGTAACCTCCAAACACTTTCCAATAATCAGTGTATCTCAAAGGCAAACCCAATGAGTGATTTGCAGAAAAAAGACAAGACAGTGTGGACAGGGAGTCTAAAATATATTGTTGGCTTGTGTTTGTGTAGGATGTGTGTTGTGTAGCAGTGGTTAGACTAGGAGCTGAGACATGGAGCCCAACTGCAGCGTCCACTGTGACTCCTCCAGGTGCTCCATCCCCTCAGGCCTGAACAGTGCTGAGGCCCTCCTGCTCCTGCAGAGGATGTGCAGCCTGAGCACGGTAAGTAACCTGGTCCAGCTTGTTTGTCCATGTTTGACCCCATGTGTCTCCTGTTGGCCCTTCCCCTTCCTCCTGCTGTGACTCCTCCTACACTCTCTGCCCCAGTGTCAATATAACTGTCGCTATGTTTAGTGCTGTGTGTGGTGTCCTTTAAGAGACTGCAACAGGCTCAGGGGAATGCCATTTACAAATACCTCAACCAGTCAGAGAGTAGTAACATCGGCAGGCTGCTACAGGCACTAACTGCACTACCACGGTAAGTTGTCTTGTTTATCTGTGGGATATTGTGGGCTACATGTTTGACTTGTAACTTGTAACAGCATTTTCACTTCTTTAGATGCAAATGCATTAAATAATTCAAAAAAATATCTTTTGATATATTTTATTGGCATTAAAAAGCAAAACTAAAACTAAACAGTTAAACTAACTAAACAGATGTACAACTTTTAAATGTTTTCTAAGAGTTAATATATTATGAAAGAAATTATGAACAATTAGAACAATACTTACTCAGTTTTTTAATGATAATGAAAAAATATTGTGGAAATAAAGAAAAAATACACACTTACACTGTGGTGCACTTGTGTTGACACGAAACACCTGTTTGACTACATTTTCCTCATATATATGAAGAGCCATGAGATACATTGTACAACCGGAAAAACACCTAGATAATGATTTTCTGCATAGCTGTACACATCTGTGATCGTGATCACTTGTGCTGAGAATGTACATGTTTAAAGTAGAACCGTGTCCTCAAAAGCCAAGGGTCCTGAGGTTTGTTGTGGTTCTGTTCAAGTTCATATAAATATATCTGACTCGAAGGAGAAGGTGTAATGAAAGGAAACACCATGGGTTACTATAAATATAAATAGGTCAAAGGGAATTGGACCATATCATTAAAGCCTGAATTTCCCTCTTTCCATTCACAGCTATGGCTACGTTTGGCAGTTTGCTGTCAGAGGAGCAGCTCCGGTGCCCCATCTGTCTGGATCTGTTCAATCGGCCTGTGTCCACCCCATGTGGACATAATTTTTGTGGGGACTGCATAAGAGGATACTGGCAGAGCACTGACATGTCGCTTTGCCCCATATGCAAACACAAATTCTACAAGAGACCAGAGCTCAAAGTCAATACCTTCATTGCCGAGGTGGCTGCTCAGTTCCGGACATCTAGAGCCCAGGACATTGAACTCAGTTCAGATCAAACTTCATGCAAAGTCTTATGCGATGTGTGTGTTGGAAGAAAGGTGCCAGCTCTAAAGTCCTGTCTGGACTGTTTGGCCTCCTTCTGTGAGACCCATCTAGAACCACACCACGTCCTGGGGACCTTTAAGAAGCACACCTTGATAGCCCCCCGCATGAACATGCAGGAGAGAGTGTGTGTGAAGCATGAGAAACTGCTGAAGCTGTTCTGCAACAATGACCAAACGTACATCTGCCCCATCTGCACCCAAGAAGAGCACTCTGACCACCACACTGTCCCCATCGAAGACCAGGGCAGAAAAATAAAGGAACAAATTGGAGAGTTGAACGTTAAGGTGGAGAAGATGATCGAGGGTCGCATTCAGAAAATGGACATGATCCAAGAAGCCATTGAGCTCAGCAGAAACAACTCACAAGCAGAAATCAAAGAAGGTTTGCATATCTTCTCCAAACTCTTCCAGCTGCTCCAGAAAGACCAAGATGAGGTGAGGGAGGCAATCAACACAAAACAAAGGCAAGTGGAAACCAATGCCAAAGGAGCTATGTTAGAGTTAGAGCAAGAAATAAATGAGCTACGCCAGAGAAGCATCCAACTAGAACATCTGTCAAACATTACAGACGATCTGTACCTCCTAAAGAGTTTTCCTGCTCTGTCCCAGCTGCCTGTCACCAAAGACGGGTGTGAAACTGTCGTGGAAAGCGCTGTTTACGTGGGCACTTTGAGGAGAGCTGTCCGGAAAGTAGCATCCAAGATTGATGAGACCGTTAAGGATGAAGTTAAAAGATTGTGCAGCACTGAGTTCCAGCGGGCACGACATTATGCTGTCAATGTAACTTTGGACCCTGACACTGCTCATCCAAAATTGGTCCTGTCAGAAAATTTGAAGCAAGTATATCACAATGACATGGCTCTCAATGTACCAGAAAATCCTAAGAGATTTTACCCCTGTGTGAGTGTTTTAGGCAAAGAGGGTTTCTCATGTGGCAGGTTTTACTTTGAAGTAGTTGTGAAGGGAAAAACTGAGTGGGATATCGGAGTTGGACGGGAATCTATGAACAGAAAAGGAGGAAATACGTTGAATCCAGAAAATGGATACTGGGCGTTAGGGATGAGGAATCCAAAGAGCTACTGGGCACTCAGTAGCACCCCAATTGCAGTGCCACTGGTCACCATGCCACAGAAAATGGGCGTCTATGTGGACATAGAGGGAGGGCAGGTTTCGTTTTATAATGTGGATTCTGCCAGCCACATTTACTCTTTCACTGGTTACTCATTCACTGAAAAACTGTACCCATACTTTAACCCCCGTCGTAACCACGGGGGCACCAACTCTGCACCTCTCATCATCTCTTCAGTCGTATAAACCTTGACATCATCTGAACAATTATCATTTTGCTTTTTGCTTTTTACTTCAGTTCAACTCTCAGTTATTTCTGTTTGTACTTTTTTGCTTCAATTTTTCTGTTCACTATTGCGTCCTAAATTATTTGCTCTGTAAATGCTCAGAAGTCTTCCAGTCAATGTGTAAACTGTGGATGACTGTTCATTTACAATTACTTAACCAACTTGTGAAATCCAGGGTTAAGACTCATTTATTAAAACTAGACATGCTTTGACCATTTTCATGTGCTTAAAACTAATATGTCTTAGAGATCTAATAATTTGTTTTACACTGTGAAATAAAAAAAATAAATGTTTACAGACTGTTACTGTGGAGTCCCTTTATGTTTTTGTTTATAAAAAATATTTAAATGTGCATTGAGTGACTTTTCTGGTGGAGGATCCGTCAAATGCTTATTGCTTTGTCTGGAATCTCTCACAGTATTTTTGTAGAATAAAATATCAGTACGGTATTAAACCAAAACCACCAAACCAGACCAAGTTACAGGTCAGATCTGCGGAGAGGCAAACCTATTCACAGTCAGACTACCAGTTTTTCTAGGTATTTTTGTAAATAAATAAAATAAATGTAAAGTACCGCAGTTTAATGTCATACTGTGGAACATTACAGGCAGATAAATGACATATCTATAGAAACAAACAGGTGACGGACCCTCAACCAAAAAGTTACATAGTGCATCTTTAAATTAAGTCTGATAAATTACATCATAAGTACCATTGTTAAAACATATCCAATTGCTCGCAGATGGCTGTGGAGCTTCCCAGACGAACACTGTCCCCAGTTTTGAGTGCTGTGGTTTGGACCATGTTGTCTTGTGGCATCCTGTTGACGTGTGCGTTCTTCTTCTTCACAATGCGCTTTAAAAACAATAGGTGAAGTAAATATGAAATTAATAAAATATAATACATATTCTAGTACAGACCTATTTACTTGAAGGACTTTTAATGTAATTGTGCTCATGTGTTTATCAGGATAGTGAAGATGTCCAGCCCCAATCTGAACGTCCTAACGCTATTTGGGAGTGTCCTCACATACGCCAGTGGATTCTTGTTTGCAGCTGATGGACAGTCTAATGGAGTCATCATTCAGGTAAATGATTTTAAAATTATACATAATGAAAACCAAAAAAAATTACTAAAAACCTCTCTCACAACCCATACAATAACATGTTTTTTGAAATGGTCTCATCCCCCTGTTTTGTCCAATAGTTTCGAATATGGACTTTGTGTCTGGGCAGTACTTTGGTGTTTGGGCCCATACTGGGGAAGACATGGAGGTTGTATAGAGTTTTCACACAGAGGGTTCCAGACAAGAGAGTGGTATGTTAAACTACTACTGTTAAACGTGTATTGTGTAACTTTTCTGCTGGAGGGTATGCCACTTTTTTTTCCCCTTTTCTTTTCTTTGCTTGGTATGTTCCACAGTATGGCATTAGAGGTAATGGTAACACTTTATTTTAGGGTACACTTATTAACATCTAACTACCTGCTAATTAGCATAGTTGTAGATGATTCATTTGTCATTAATTAGTATTAATTCATCCCTTATTGATGTCTTATTCCCCATAAGCTTATTCTGCTATTAATTAGACATTTACAAACACTTTCCTTTTAATACACTCCTTATTACTGCTTATTAGTATGATACTAAGCCATTTTTGTCTGTGAATTATGATGTTAAGAAGCTTTTAGTAATAAACGTGTTGTTAAGGACTATTGCACAAGAAATATCGTTTTTAAGTCATTAAGCTCATATATTCATATATGAACTATGAATATGCATGGCACAATACATGAATTAAGTGTGAAAAAGAGACCACTTTAGAACAGGGACCATATTCAATTCAATTTGTGTCAAACTAGTCATTTATTAACTATGATCGAAACATCACTTTAGAATATTTATGAGCTTAATGACTTTATTCTACTAGTGCTTAACAACACACTTATTACTAAACTCTTATTAGAATCATAATTCATGGACAAAAATGGCTTAGTGTCATACTAATAAGCAGTAAAAAGGAGTGTATTAATAGGAAAGTGTTTGTAAATGTCTAACTAATAGCAGAATAAACTTATGGGGAATTAGATATTAATAAGAACTGAATAAATACTAATTAATGACAAATTAACCATCTACAACTATGCTAATTAGCAGGTAGTTAGATATTAATAAGTGTACCCCAAAATAAAGAGTTACCAAGGTAATTGTTTCATTAGAGGTAATTGTTCAGAAATACCTTTACGAATTGTCTCACTTCTCCACCGAACTGATCTGTACCTTGGCCTGCTCACCTCCAAGGAGTTTAATGTCTTACTGTGAAACATTTTAGGTTGAACAGTTAAGTACATCTGCATGTAGTGTACCCTCCCCAAGAAAGGTTACGCAGTGTGTACCTTTAATCATTGCTGTCTGTTCAGATGATTTAACCTTACTTTTTCTTTCTTTTTTTTTTTTTAGATAATCAGGGATATTCAGCTGATGGGAATGGTGGTTTTGCTAATCCTGGTTGACATACTGATTCTCATGGTTTGGAACATCACAGATCCAATAAAATGTTCCAGTTCTCTGGGTGCAGTTGTTAAGGTAGTAATGACTTCATTTATTTGAGGTTCCTGGTTCTTTTGGTGATTTGTTTATTAAAACAATGACTTATCTTGTTAAACTTCAGATTGTGGAGAAAGAAGTTTCCTACTCTTTGTCTCGGGTGGACTCCTGTTCCTCTGCACTCTCACATCTGTGGGTCATCATTATAGCTGTTCAAAAGGTAAACCTGTCTGTGCAGTATTAGGCTGTCAACATGTGGATGCTTTATGCTCAAACATGCTCTTGTTATGTAACTTTGTTTGTCGCAGCAATGGGAAAATCAATATGAGGCCTTGTGCAGAGTTTTAAGCTATTACACTGTTATTAAAGTTACTTCATATCTACGTGAAGACAATGTTTATGGTGTAATAATATTTACAATGTAGCCTGCAGCCATAGGCACTACTGACTGACTAACCCTATAGAATTCCTTGCTCTTTCTTAAAGGTGCAGTACATAACTTTTCAGGTGGAGGGTTTGCCAGAAAAGGGAGATTGATCCTCTATCATTAAATTTATCTAGCTCCATATCAAAAGGCCAAGTTATAGGTCAGATCTGTGCAGAGGCTTGCTCATTCACAGTATTTTTCCAACAATAAAAGCACATGTAATTGAGACTTTTTGAAATTAAGACTTGAGAGTTTTAATTTAAAGAGCCTATATCACAATATTTTCTGTTACAATGTTGTTTACTCATCAAAAACATACTTGGAACTGTGTCTCATTGTGTTGTTGTGTTGTTCACTGACACATGTTTAACACACAAACTCTACATATTTAGGATTCTCTCAAACAGAAAACACATTGTGATGTCATGTTGTAATAGAGGAAGAGCTCCACTGTTAAATACCGCTTCATAAGGTGGAACAGAGTTTTTTGAGCTTTGGAGATAGAGTGTAGATAGTGTAATAATCAAGGGTTATTCAAACATGTGTGAATAAACTAAACACAACCGCCGGTGTGTTTTTGATGAGGTAACAACATTATAACATGGCTTAAATCTCACAAGAACCCATTATGTGTAATATTGGACCTTTACTACATGTCCTTTATGCCTTTAGGGTTGTCTTCTCCTTTATGGAACTTATTTGGCCGGTCTCACGAGTAACGTCAGCCATCCTCCAGTGAACCAGTCGCCCACCATCATAACAGCTGTAACTCTGGTCACCCTGGCCTCCACAGTGGTCATCCCCGTGTACTTCTTTCTGCACAGCTGGCCTAACCTGGTTTACAGCGCAGTCGCAGGAGCCATCTTCATCTGTACTCTGGCAACTAACTGCATGTTGTTTGTCCCTCAGGTGAGAAACTATGCATGATACTTATACAAATATGCAGTGAGGATGTCCTGGGGGAAGGGCCTCCTAGAAACAAGCTGCACTGTTACACAATCTTTGTACGCTGAAAAAATACATAACATTGTGTTTGTTATTATGATATATATTAAAAGTTCTTTTATTATGCAAAATTGACTAATGAACTTTAAGCCATGTTATAATGTTGTTACCTCCTCAAAAACACACCTGGAGTTGTGTTTGTTTAATTCAGACATGTTTGTGTAATCCATTATTATCAGGTTATTGTTGTGGGGGGAAAAAAATCTCTTGATGATAAATAATTTGTCCATTTGTGAAGCCCAGTGAGTTTTTGGAATACAGACAAAGCAGATATGGACAGGGCCTAGGCCTGCCCTGGCCAGAGACCAACAGCCTCTACAGAGTCTCTTCTCTCCAGTCACCCATCCAAATCTGGACACAAAAGGTGTTTAGTTCTTTCGCAAAAGTCTGGCCTGGTGTTGTGATATTGGGCAAATGCTGAGATGCTGCAAATATTTCAGAAGAAATCCTTGGACAGAAAACTAATGTTGGATTTTGTGGACCTAAGATTTTGTGGACCACCATTTGCATAGTGTACATTGTGCCTTCTTCAGCATAGTGGTGCTGTTTCTGGGCAGTGCATGAAGTGAAGAGTCCTGTTGTGATGGGGGTGGTGGAACTTTGAGTTGTGAGAGGTTGCTTACTTTTTGTTGGATTTGGATTACTCCATTATTGTCCAATGTTGTAGAGTTATTTGGTGAAGGATCAGACAGCAACTGTTGAGACAAAGAGTTCTGCAAGTGGAGCTGTTTCAGTTCACACATTTCAGTAGCATTTTCAGAGAGAAGAGTTTGCTTGTGCATAGATTTTCTTATTTTGCTCTCCGCTTCATCTTTCCACATTTTTACACAGTTCTCGTAATTTTCAGTGTTTTTTTTTTTTTTTTGGTAATTTTTCAATTAGAAATTTTACTTTTTCTCTCATTTCAATTTCAGTCTCACATAAGTTGCAGTTCCAATGCAAGAACATTCTTTAAAGTGAATGCACTAAATTCTGAAGACTTCTTATGTGTTACATGTTTTCAACAATGAGATTTTGGAGCTAAGAAGACTGAAAAGGGTCAAACAAGTAACTGAAATATGGGAATTTTAGCTTTTGTGAGGTGAATAAAAAATTGTATAGGAACAGAGCTAAGGCTGTTTGGCATGTTGACAGAAGCCCATTTAACTTCAATAGGAGGCACATTGTCCTTTGAACATTTCTAAGTGTTTGTAGATGAAGATTACCTATAAAAATTGCTTAAATGAAATGAAGTCTGTATTACAAATGCTCACTAAGCAGATCATGTTCGAATCCAACGAAGATGATCCAGGACAGAAACCAAAGTCCATCCATGTCACTCTTTGCTCCACACACCAGAAAAGAAAACAAAAGCAGACAAAATTCCATCTGCGCTGTGTTCTGGGCAACCAGAACCAGAACCTCGTGAATCTCAGTTCTTGACACCAAATTATTGTGGAAAAAATTATGTATCTCTTGATGATAAATATTTAATCCATTTGCAAAGCCCAGTGAGTTTTTGGAATACAGTACAAAGGTTTATTCTTGTTATAGCAGATATGGACAGGGCCTAGGCCTGCCCTGGCCACAGACCAACAGCCTCTCCCATGTCTCCTGTCTCCAGTCACGCCTTCAAGTCCATTCTCTCCATCTCCCGCCAGAGCATCTGACCTTTGAATATTTATACAGAAAAATTACAAATGACATATATGTTAAAGCAGAGTGACTTTTGTATCATAGACATGTGCTAATCAACTTAACTTACATTTGAGGACACGTAATACAACAGAGTTCTGATCTCAGGTAAAAATCACATTAATTTATACAAAGACAGATTGAGAGAAATCTTTTCTCCACAGTATACATTTCCATCACATTAATTACATATAAAAAGCTCAAAATGCTTTGTTCCACCTTGTGATGTCATGGAATGGTAGTTTTCAAGTTAACCTTTTACCTTTAGTTCAATAAAAATGGGCAAATCCAGGGCTGAAGTGCTGAATCTAAGAGAAGACCTCAATCTAAATATGCAGGGTTTGTACGTTAAACATGTGAATGAAACAAAACAAAACTCCAGGTCTGTTTTTGATGAGGAAACAACATTAAAACATAGATCAGAAAATAGCGTAATATGGGCTCTATAAAACATCAGCCAAGTAACTTCATAGATTATAGTGACACCTTGAGTTTCCCACATGCACGTCTGTCAACGTGAGTCACACAGAAGGCGTTTATGAGTCAAAACTACGTAGCCTGCTGCTAACAGGTTTACAACTCTCCAGGTTTCTGGCTCTAATTTTATGTTTGGATAAAAGGGAGCATCTTAAGTGGGACGGAAATATTTGAACCATGACTAATACAGTCAAGTACACCTGGACCCATCAATGCTTCTTTATGCAAAATGATGCAATTTGTACTGTAATTTACAAAGGTTATTAAGTCAATTTTTCCATCTTTGCAGCTAACCCAGTGGAGGCAGTTTGAGGAAGACCAGAACAACCCAAATCAGATGGCAAAGTATTTTAGCAGTCCCAGCAAGAGTCAGGCTTCAGTGTACAGCCAAGAGGAGATCTACTACCTGCTGGGAGAGAATGACTCCATGAAGAAGCTGCTTAATGAGGTACTGCATCACCTCTTTGTCAATTTAATCTACAAATCAAGCTCTTGGGTTACTCATTTGTTACTCATGAGGAAACATTATAACATAGATTAGAAAATACTGTAACATAGGCCAATCCGTGTGTCATTCGTTCATTCATTCATTCAAAACCAAAAATAAGAAAACAAAAAAACAACTATTTGCTTCATTATTTGTCTCCAAAACCAAAATGAAAAAAAAAGATAATGATTTGTTTTTTCAGTTTTCGATTTAGTGTTTAAATGAGTAATGGAAAAAAAAACAGATAACGGCTGTTTCTTTTTTTCCGTGACTTAAACCGGATCCTGGGACCAGTCTAAACCAGGACTGAACCAGGACATAACCAGGTCTGAACTAGTCTCAGTCCTGGTCTCAGTTCCCGTTTAGTCCCTGTTTCCTGGTCATTTGACATTCATTGCTGGCACACCTCCAGTCCCATCCTGACCCTCCTGGTTCAGTCCTGGTTTAGTCCTGGTTTATGACTGAGACCAGGATCAGACTGGGACAAAACTGGGACTGAGACCAGGACTGAGACTGGGACCAGACCAGGACTAATCCGGTTTAGTCCTGGTTCAGTCCTTATGTGGTGCAATAGTATTCACTTAAACACAAAATCCAAAAAACTAATCATTAGCTGTTTTGTTTTTTTTATTTTGATTTTAGAGACAAATAATGAAGAAAATAGTTGTTTTCTCATGTTTGGTTTTATTTTGAAAAACGAATGAACAAATGATACACGGATTTAGGCCTTTTAAAGCATCACTACTCAAGTAAGAAGCAGTTGTCCAAATAATAATGCAGAAAAGATGCTCTTGTGAAAGTAAAGTAAAGTAAAGTAAAGTAAAGTAAAACTAGTAAATATTTCTTACAAACTAAACATTGCATATTTTTGTCCTTAGAAAAATGCAGTGATTGACAGTCTCCAGGAGCAGGTAAAAAACGCCAAGGAGAAACTTCTACGCCTCATGTCCGCCAGCCAGATTCTTGCCCCCAGCCTGGATCATGACATGTCCTCATCTACAACCAACATCCACTCCTCCTCCACCCAGACCACAGAGCTGCTACCTGAGGACCCAAGTCTTCTTCAGAGGAACAGTAACTCCAGAAGCTCACCTGGTGATCTCTCCCCTGTCCTCACTTCTTCTGTTTTACCATCTTCACCAGCCCTCACGTTACCAAAGCTCTCATCTCCAGTCCCTGCCTCCTCTCCTACTTCAAATGAGCCTGCCGTTTCTAAAGACATTTCTATTGCTTCTCCAAAGGTTGTGGAAAAAGAACCCTCTGTGTCCTCTGGATTACTCAGAACTGCGGAAGAGACTGCAAAATTTGTCACATCCCTGCAACAACGCAGACTATTGAACCCGTCTCTTGTAGAAGCATTGAGCAAACAAGCAAACTCTAAAATTACTGGTTTTGTTAGCAGTGAGCAACTACAAGAGATATTACAGGAGCTGAGTGTGGATACAGTTCTGGAAACTACACTTAGATCTCCTGGACAACTCTCCATAGGTCAGACCAAATGTTCTGACACGCTCTCACCTCTTTCCGTTTGGAGTCAGCGTTCTGCTCCTGTACCCGTGGTCTTTCAGTACCCACGCGTTTCTCCGTATTCGATGAGGAAGCGTAGACCACCTTTCCACTCGCCCAGAAGAGCCCTGTCTCCTCACTGTTTCTACACCACTTCAGACAGCACCTGTGGGAAAAGCAGAGATGCTTGCAAACTAAAAGATCAAGAAGTATTGTGTGAGCCTCAAGGAGAGGTACAAGATGTGCAGAATAGTGAGGTAGAAGAAGAAGCAGAGGAACATGGCACTGTGAGAACAGGTCACAGGTCACGTAGGTGTCCGGTGAGAGCGTCTACGAAGAATGTGTGCATTGAGGGAGCTGAAGAGGCAGGGGAGGAGAAGAGTAAAATGCTTTGTAAAAGACACATTCGAGATTCGTCTGGATACTGGGACTCTGACTCTAGCAGCTCTACAGATTACTGCTACTACCACCGGCCTTACTGTGAATCCTGCCTGCAGCGTGGCTCCCTCACCACCTCGGACAGCTCTTCTGATTCAGACAGCGAGTACGAGGACTACACGGGCCTGTACCGCTCACCACACCCTGTAGTTTTTAAAGAAGACCTCAAGCCTACTTTTGTATGATCACATTTATTGCACTTTATTATGACAGTGTTCAGTTGCAACCATTTCTGCTCCTGTTACCCAAATCTGGGAATAAATCAGGAAAATGTAGCTGTGTTTGAAGAGATGTGAAATAGCTCCATAAAAGTGTTGTCTTTGCACATTATAGGAATTCTGTTTTTATCTGTTGTTCTTTCATATCAAGAAATACATTGATATATTTTTCAAAAAGAGCAAAGTTTAAGAGACGCTAAATTTGACTGATACACTCACTGCATTTCACAAAACTACAAATACTGTGAAAGCTATGACACTAGTATTTATTTGAATATTTATTTTTAAATATATTTGTTTGCAGATGTACTGTTAGCATTCATGCCATTATATTTTAGATGTTTACATCTTTACAGAGATTTAAACTTGACATAAATTCCTTTCTTAAGTTTTGAGTTAATCCTTGTTTTTCCCATTCCATTAAATCAACACTCCTTTTCATCTCAAAAAATGTAATGCTCTTAAAACCCTCCTGATTTGTTCTGACTTTTTAATATCCTCATAATAATGTTTTATGTTCATTGACTGTTTGTGTTACACTCTGATCTGTTTTGCTTTTGGGGTTGAATCCAATCTGGAAGTCATTCATCTGAACTTTTTTCAGAACAGTTTTTCTTGTGTTGGTCAAAATTGTAATAAAGTCCGTTACATGTTTAACTCAAGATCATAATGGGTCTGCTGTTCTTTTTAACATTGTTAAGCACTAAATAGTTTGAATGAATCATTAATCGGCAATTGCAAAAAACAACTGTGATGATTTTGTAAGACACAGCAAAGTTCAATAAAACGAACAACTTTTGCAATTGGATAAAAAGGTTGAGCCTTTATTTACAAGGTTGTTTTGTGTTTGTGTGTGTGTGTGTGTGCGCGTGCGTGTGTGCATGTGTGTGTGCATGTGTGTTTGTGTGTGTTAGTGTGTGTGTTTGTGTGTGTGTGTGCTTGCTTGTGTGCGTGTTTGTGTGTGAGTGTTTGTTTGTATGTGTGTGTTTGTGTGTGCGTGTTTGTGTGCATGTGTTTGTGTGTCTGTGTGTGTGTTTGTGTGTCTGTGTGTGTGTTTGTTTGCGTGTGTGTTTGTGTGCATGTTTGCATGTGTGTGCTTGTTTGTGTCTGTGTGTTTTATGGGGGTGCATGTTTATGCGTGTGTGTTTGTGTGAGTGCTTGTGTGTCTGTGCACATGTGTGTGTGTGTTTGTGGGGGGTACGTGTTTATGCGTGTGTGTTTGTGTGAGTGCTTGTGTGTCTGTGCACATGTGTGTTTGTGTGTGTGTTTGTGTGTGTATGTTTGTGTGTGTGCAGTAGGTTATTCTGACATTTTCCCTTTATAACAGGCTAAGTTTATGTTGTAAATTCTAGATACTGCAACCTATATTTTCCTTTTCCTCAAATAAGAAAATGTAGGTTATTTGCTAGAGGATCTACATTGCTCCAGTTCACTTTGTTCTAGTTTTTTTTTTTTTTTTTTTTTTTTTTTTTTTATGTTTTTGGTCCAAGTATGAATTATAAGCTTAAAAATCTCCTTGATATTAATAAACAGGCTACTACACAGAGGAATTATTAAACAAGTCTTTCCATGAGTGAAATAAATCTAGGGGGCTATGCTATGTTTTTTATGTTGTAGTAAGTCAAGCCAGAGGTGTCGTGTATTAATCAAAGATCTGTGGACCACCTCGAGGAAAGGCTGGAGAGGCTGGTTTAACCAGCAACAGAGCTGCCTGGCCACTGGAGCACTGTGACAGCAGCTGGAGCACTACAACTGACAGCAGGATTTGGGATCTCTATTGGCTTAGAAAGTAATCAATCCCTAAAGCGAACCCGCCCATTGCCCCTGCCGCTCCACGGAAAGCCTTTGAAGTTTAGCATGGGCGGTACCTGGAAAATTATGCCATGTGGTGTTGAGGAGCGACGCTTTCATTGGCGCCCGACATCAGGCCGACGCCCATTTTTAAAGGATACACATTTTGATTGGCTACGACGGCCGACCAGATTCACCGTTTGCGCGTTCACATTTACACCATTCACCAACGAGACTTACGTCGGCGTCGTGAACTTTCTCCGTAGAGACTCATTCTCCCGGGATCGCGTTACGGAAATGGCGTAACCGACGAGCGTAGCGACAAAGACAGCGAGCCCGAAGTCTATGGGGAAGGAATAAAAAAAGAAATTCAGTACCGTCGCACTCCTAGCTAAAACACCCTCATTTTTGGGAAGAACTAACTGTCCCGTGTGTTAGCAAGTATTTTACCGGCAGAGAGGAGCTTTAGAGCGGAGTGTGTGAGGGTCGGTGAGGAAAACCGTGGCAGCTGCGGGTTTTCCGTTGGACGGTCTGTAGCTCTGACTGTAGCGAGGAGCCGCCATGGCCGTCGGATCAGCGAGTCTCCATATCGGGATATGAACAGGAGCTGCATGTGGCTGAAAACGCCGAGGAAAGGCCTTCATTTACCTTTGGAAGTGCAGTTTGACCATTTTTTCCTAAGGAGTCTTCCTTCGTTTTTGTAAATCACAGCCCAAAGTGAGGAGAATATTGACTGTGATCTGGGGGGCTACAGGGAGAGGCGGAGGCCAGATTCATGACTATTTTAGACGGAGACGTGTCTTCAAAGGCCTGCTGAAAGCTAACTGGGAATACAACCGGCATAAACGATGCTCTGACTGACTGTCTGTGAGAAAACGTTTTATTGGGTGAAAGCAGGACCGTGGGACAGTGCCAGACTGTAGCTTTGTGCCTGGCATCTTTGGTGTATTACAGCTACATTCATCCACAGTCATCCTTTTTGGATGAGAAGGTTTGGCGAAAAGACCTGCCCAGCCATTTAGCAAGTCATAGTGTCCAGGACCAGAGTGTCAGCGGGATTGGATCATGTCGGGTCGGCCCAGGACCACATCCTTCGCAGAGAGCTGCAAACCAGTGCCGCAGCCCTCTGCTTTCGGCAGCATGAAAGTCAGCAGTAAGTAACCGTGTAATCCTAGTGTAGCTGTGTGCAGGCAGCAGGCCCACTGTGGCTACACATCCTGCTGGACCTCTCCCCGCGCACTGGGCTGTAAACGGGCTGTATACCATGTATATCTATCTATGTATCTGTGTCAGTGTGAGATTGACCAGGCTCAGTGGCACACGGTCATTGTAGGCTGTGTGCAGCACTAGCAGGCCGCACCGGGCTGGGCTGAGGCGGGCTGGGCTGGGCCAGTTGAAGTAGCAGTGGCACCTACCCAAGTTAAACGCTGTATTCCCTATTTCCGTCCATTTAAATGCATGTGAGGTCACACAAGAGTATTGCTACATAGCTTCAGAGGTATGCGTAATACAGAGTACAGCGATAGGCCGGTCTATTACGCAACTGGGAAAGAAGAAGGTGTGCCCATAGTTGACTGGGGAGAAACTGACGTGGTCCCGGAGCGAGTGGTGTGTCAGATCCCGTTCCCGGAGCAGGGGTGAAACGAGACGTCTGGACTGGGCGTGCTGTGGCATCCTCTGCTTGAAGGAGGCTGCTGCAGATGCAGCGTAGGCTATGGGCAGATGGGCCTGGAGTCTGGACCTGCTCAGCAGCAGCGGAGCCTCCTGATTTCACCCAGCCTCTCCCTTGCACAGAAAGGTTTCTGCTCCAGAGAGATCGAAGTCAGATGTAACCTAAATGCTAAGATGATGGTTGGGGTCTTATTATGCCCTGTTTAGTTTATTAACCACAGAAATGTACCTTTGTCATAAGAAACATTTTCAGGATAGCACCATACAGTCTATGGATTGCACATTCATTCTTCAGATCACTTTAATTCAGATTGATTGATGTAAATATTCATATAGTCCATTTCAATAATTTGTATGTTTTATAGATTGTTTTATGTATCTACACAGAGGTCCATAGTGGCATAATCTTGGAAAAAAAAAAAAATTCACTGACCTTTTGCCGTTTAATGACTCATGAGACCAATCGATTAATTGATTAACAAAATGTTAGGTTCACAACAAACCTGTGTGAAAGAGAAGCCCTGATTTACTCCATCCAGTCTGTTTTCATATTGTGTGTTATGTCCCAGTCTGATCCTGATGGTTTTGGATGAAACCTCATATCTTAGCACAGGATGTTACTTGTGATCATGATCTTTTGGAGTTATTACTGCACTAGTGCTGTGATGTAAATTTTCATCCAACAATCCATGGTAATTACTTGTAGCCAACACTGTTGACCTGTGATGACAGATCAGCCAGTAAATATAATATATTTTTGCTTTCTTCAGGTGATCTGCTCCGTGTTGTCTCAGAATGATGTCATGTCCTGAAAATTGTGGTTGTAAATTTACTTCAAGTTAATTGAATTGGTTATTAGTTTGTAACAAATAATAAGCAGATCCTTGGCAGTTGTCTCTAGAAGTTATTGTCTGCCTGTCATCCAGTTGATGCAGCTGTGATGAACCTGGACAGATGTCCCCACCTCTCCTACGCAGGACACAAATATAGTTTATTATATTATATACATCCACACACCCACATGAGCACTCAGATTTAGGTTTAGAGATGAGGCAGCTGGCCAAGAACAATGAACGTCTTGTTTAGCATTTCAAAGCCAGAGCTTTCCCTCTCCCCCTCTTTTCCTCCCCTTCCTCTCTAACATCTTGCAAATGATTATGGTAGAAACAAAATGAAGTAATTATAGTCTTTGATTTGACATAAAATCTCAACAAAAGAGGAAGATAAGCTGTCACTTTTTCGCTCACTTAAAAAGCAGGAGGCACTTCCAGGATGTACGATGGTCAGATTGCTTGTGGTCATTGACTGAGTGACAGGTGTGTCTTCTCTACCTTGACAGTCTCCAAAGTATAAGGAGAAGTCTTAAAAAGCAGTATTCTCCCAAAGATCTGCCTATATCAGCTGTGACATTCTGGTGACTGGATGTTCCAGTAATGCAGTGAATTATCTCATCAACTCTGCACAAGTGGGACAGCACTTTGCACCTCTGATGAGCGCGTGTACTCGTCAGCACCTCATTCTGTGCTGGTGCACGCTGATATCAGGCTAGGACATCTTTCTAGGAAGTTTGTCAGTGAGTACGCTACCTTTGAATTCATCTGTACTTGATTTGGATGAAGCCAGTGCAGAGTGAAGCTTGTCTCTCTTTTGCTATGAGCTATTACATGTTAATGTTCCTATTACAAAACATTTTTGAACATTTTATCAGTATCACAAGAAACTACAGGATATCTGGCCTCCATGGATTTCACATTTGGGCCTGGATAACAAGTCTTCACACGCCATGAGTATTGGAACTATTATTGTCTTAATTTCTTCAGTCTTTTCAATCCTGATACACTGGCTGGTGGTAGTGAACTACTATTAAAATGTGCTTCAGTAACTAATGGTTCACTGTTACAATAACTCACATCTTGTTGCAATAAAATCATGAACTGTTGCTAATACTGTGGGGGGCCAAACTGAATTGTAGCAATGCGAGTGCCCCCCCCAACTACCAAGACGAGCCTTTAGTGCAATCATTGTATTTGCTTATATTTCATATTCTGACAGTTGGTGGAGCGTTTGTCCACTGATCCGAAGGTTGGTGGTTCGAATACTGTTGTTGTGTCCTTGGGCAAGACACTTAATTCATCTCAACCCTAGTGTCTGTGTGTGAATGGGGGATTGGTTCCTTGATGTAAAACGCTACATAAAGAGGTGATCATTTACCATTCCAAAGCATTAAGATCTAAAATCCATCCATGGTTCATTCAGTGTTAACTAGACATTTAACATGTTGTTTTGGTGGGAAATAAAATCCAGTTGACTTTTTTGTGTTTGAAATCTCACAGCTATGTTACAGCACACGCTCTAACGCTATAACAGTTTAATTTCATCTGGAGATGGCTGGCTAATTACTGGGTCACCCCTCATTAGCTCCAGTGTGTTATGTGTAGAGATAGTGAGTGGTGCTGGTGTTTGCAGGACGTTCTCACGGTTTGAGGAAGCGCAGAGGCGTTGTAGAAATGGCCCTGCTGGAATATGTAGGCAGTCTCTCTCTCTCTCTCTTTTACGCTCACTCTGCTCTTGGAAAGTCTATTTCTGTCATTGCTGAATCGCGCTGCAGCTTTCGAGACTTGAATCCTGGAGAGCTGGGGTACCATGCCCCCCATTCTAACTTTATTTTTCATAGCCATTTAGTAATTAATTTGATTATAAATACTTGCAGAACAAGTACGATAGTTTAATATTGTTGACATATACAAAATGTGTCCAAAAACATTACTTTCATATATCATATACTTTCAATATTTTAATTTTGCTCTGCTCCATGCTTTTCTTTTACTTACATACTTATTACTCATTTTCACCCCTGCTCATCTCTAACAGTGCAGTAACTTCCTCTCATTTTGAAGGGGGGGTAGGATTGCAGGAGGACGACATTTTGGAGTTAAATTTGGCTCAGTGTGTAGCCAGCACATGTTAAAGGCACGCGACATGATTTTGCTTACTTGTCCTTTTAACTGCCTGCTAATGTGATCTTTGCTCCACGCTCACAGAAGTGAGGGTAATGTGATCTGTGTCACAGACTATTTAATCTGTGAAACTTGTGTATTTATGATAAAAAAAGTGGACTGTGGTCCGTTAAAAAAGAAATGTGAGACATTTCATTGTCAGTAAATAGGGCTGACAATTATTTTAATTTTAATCAACATTAAGTCATGATTTGTTTGGGTTATTTTTAACGGAGGGGCTTACAGACTGCTCTGTCTGTAAAAGCATGTGGTTTGAAACGAAGTTCTGACTTTGGAAGAAGAAATTAGATTTTTTTGTGTGTTAAATGATGTGTGTATAGTGTAAATAAGTGTTTCTTTTATTTTTGAAAGCAAAAAAAAAAGAATTGAATAAAAAATCTAGATAAATATGAGGAAAATATTGTGTATTGCTTTGTCATTTCACCCAGCCCTATCCATAACATTGGTGCAATAGTAAATATGCTTGTTTTCTTATGACAATTTAAAAAATGAGATTTGAGAGAAAGAATATAAGTTATGCTCACAAACTTACAATGTTCTTTGTCTTATTTTCTAGGGGATAAAGATGGCAGTAAAGTAACAACAGTGGTGGCGACCCCAGGCCAAGGCCCTGATCGGCCACAGGAAGTGAGCTACACAGACACCAAAGTCATTGGCAATGGGTCTTTTGGAGTCGTCTACCAGGCCAAGCTGTGTGACTCTGGAGAGATGGTGGCCATCAAGAAAGTCCTACAAGACAAGAGGTTTAAGGTAAATGAATCTAGTCTGATGTTCTGGTTTCTGAGCAGATGTACTACTCCCATGACAGTGTGCAATCTGTCATGACTCGCTCTGATCGTCAACAGTCCTATTGCTTTCACTACAGAATGAAAGCGTTAATGTAAACTCACCGCAATAGTTAAGCCGTGAAGCAGTGGTGTTTTTATATATTTAAATGAGACCATATCATTTTTCCTGGGAAGTGTTTTCAGTTTGAAATTAATGACTTATCCTGTGTCTTAGAAATGTGTATGCTAATTGCCTTTTTAAAACCCATTAATTTAACAACAACAAAAACATTTTAAAACTGTTAAAACAAGTAACCTTGTTTTGCGGTACTTTTAATGGTTGTATATTTACTGTTCTTAACATGACTCACTGACAAACAAGGATTGAGTGATCTTTCACAAAAACAGTGGGCTTAGTGAAGCCCAGTGAAGAGTGTGTGCTCAGGG